TTCATCAGAAGCATTCACAGTGCTGCAGAAAAGCCTTACTGTGCTTACAGTGGCACAGGCTGCTTTCCTCCCTTGTTTCTGTGGCAACATCACCTCTTGTTTCTATGAGAAAAGTCACGTTATCATATTATTTAATCCACTATCAGAACACACTTCACTCACTGGCTGGAAACACACAGGAGAGTTTCAGCATTACACCAACAAACAGCCAGAGCTCCACAGGTCATAATGTCTCTGCTATTGAAACTATGCCTTCAAGCACCAGTGGAGCTGGAGAGGGACACCACAGTCAGCACCAGGCATCCTACACCAGATTCCTTATTTTGACAGATATAAGGCCAGGGAGCTACTTGAACACAGGTCTTTCAGTAATATATTTATTTCAGTAAATATAATATATGTAATATATATATTATATTTATATAGTGTTATTAATATAATAAATACAATATAAATAATACAATGTAATATAATATAATATAAGCTTTATATTATATTGCTTTATATTATATTATATTATATTATATTATATTATATTATATTATATTATATTTTTCAGTAATATATTTATAGACAAGATATTTTATCTCCACAAGAGTGATTGCCAGCCATATCAGCCATTTCCCAACATGCAGTAACCTACTTAGAGAATCAAGGGCCAAAGGCAGAGCTAGTCAATCCCCAACTGTTTGAAGATGCCCATCCCAAGAACAGAATCACAGAATTGTTTGGATGGAAGAGACCTGAAACATTGTCTAGTGCCAACTCCTCCTGCTGTGGGGAGGAATTCCTTCCATTGGCTCAGAGTTCCATCCAATCTGGCCTTGAACACTTCCAGTGAAGGGGCATTCACAACTTTTGTGGGCACCATATTTCAGTTCCTCATCACCCTACCAAGGAAGAACTTCTTCCTCACCTTTTTTAAATATTTTGAAGCCATTCCTCGTTTGCCCCATCACTCCATGTCCTTGTAAAAAGTCCCTCTTCAGCTCTCCTGTAGTACAGGGAGACCCTTTAGGTACTGGAAGGTGCTGTAAGGTCTCCCTGGAGTCCTCTTCTACAGCCTGAACAACCCCAACTCTCCCAGTCTGTTTTCACAGAGATGCTCTAGCCCTCTGATCATCTTTGTGACCCTTCTCTGGACTCACTCCAACCGCTCCCTGTCCTTACATCATGAATGTCACTACAAATCAAGACAAATTATTAGCTGAAAGAAATTAACATAATTGCTGTCTTATCGCATTTCTTTCCCTTAATGTTTTTCTATGCCATTTCCTAGCTATTAGGGATTGACCTACTAATTGCTGACAAAACAAACCAGAGTCTGCATAGTGTAACACAGATTAAATTTTCAGCCAGGCATGCAGTTCCTCTTGCTCTCTTGGATGACAGCACTTATTCATACCAAGGCTTTTGTGTGCCATCTGGTGGACTTTCAGCATTTGGTACATTTTATTTAAGTACAAATAAAGAGAGCCCTGATACACTGTCAGGGGTATCTACCTTCTTTGGTCATTAACAGTTTCATCTTATCCTGTATCTGCTCAAATTAATGTGTGCCTGAGAGTAACAACTTAATTCCTCTCACATTTGCAGTCAAATGAGCCTGAACTCCTGTAACTGTTGTTAACTTGAGCTCACTCTTTGCACCGATAGATTTTATACATAATTGAATGATCACCCTCTTAAAAATAACTTCCACAAAACAGAATTTCTAAGAGAATTCCATATATAGGGCCACAAGCTGACAATCCTCAATAGCATTTAGATGTTTCACTCTCAATGACCAAACATGCTAGGATTAGTCTCTATTTGTCATGAAGGTCAAACATATTGAAGCAAACCTATCACCACCCAACTTCAGAAGCAAAACTGAGAGTTTGAGTACTCATTGAGTAGTCATTCTTCCTTCTAAGTAGGACAGCAAGAACTGTCATTAAAAATACTGTAGGGTTAAAAATTAAAAAGAAGAAGCCAGCTAAAACATTTGAAAAAAAATCCAGAGCACATTTTTTGTACCATATCTAACCTATGCAGCTGAGGCATTTCTTCATTTATCCTTTTTATGGAGCGCAAGCTGTGGGATAAGGAACCTGTGATGGAATAAATTTCAAAATGCACAAATTACTTCAGGCACACAGTCCTAAGGGGGAGTGTATTTCCTACTCCAGCACACTGCCATCAGCATTCTTCCATTCTGCAAGACTTCCAGGATTTTAAGGCTGGATGAAGGCCACACTCTGAATGAATGAGCTGCACCTGCCACAACAGAACATCAATAAGCAATTGGATGAACATTCTAACCAACATACACTGTCAGTTCAGAAACCTGGATACAATATGGCAGTGACTGTATGCATAGAAAAGACCAGCTGAGAGGTGCTGAAGTTGTGGTTGTCAAGGAATCTCCTTTTTGGAGATCTCCTTTCACAGAGAAAACAAGACAAACACAGATAAAACAGCAAGAAAAAGAACAGCAGTGGCTTCAAAAGCAGCTTTTGGGTTTGGTCCCCATTGTTACTTGCAACCTTTGGTCCCCCTTGTTACTCTTGAGAAAAACTGGCTCAGCAGTCTTATCAGCCACTGTGAGACTTGGCAAACACACCAACAGCTGTGCTGGTTTAGACTTTGATTTTAGCTGCCTTTTTGGACACAGGCTCGCTGCAGTGCTGCTGAAAGGTCAGCCGAGACAGACTCTTTAAGCTGAAAGCTAACATCAAGAACTGAAAAGTTATATAACCAGGGAAGACAAAGAAGCCAAGAAATGAATGTGGAGATATTAGGATTTAAGTCCTATGGTCCAGATGGTTTTAAGAACTGATCTGTTGCTGGAGGAGGTGGCATTTGGCACCTCCTCCAGCCACAGATCAGTTCAGTTGGATTGAGATTCCTTTTTTCATTAGAGTATCTTTTACAGAGAGGTAGTGAGTCCAAATCATACCATGGGTCTGAAGTCTCTACAAGACTGCAAGACAACACTGCTTTTGGTACAGACAGACCATGCTGTATCAGCAAGCAGTGGGAATTGACAGGTATGGACCTGCAGAGAAAAACAGCTGGTGCTGAGGCCAGGTATGTACAGTTAAAGGATTTCAAACAGGTTACTTTGTATTATCTCTGGCCTACCACACAGACTTAATGACCACTAGGATTTAAAGTTCATTCTCCTGATTGCTTTAGCCTGAAAGGAGATCTGGAAGTCCCAAGAGCACTGTGCAATGAAAACCAGGCACAGTAGCAGGGATAAATGGAGATTCAATTAGAAAGTACAGACTCAGTCTCGCAGGGAATTTTCTGGTGACAGAAGTCCGTGGGGACAACCTTGGATAGCTGCAGGCCCTGAGTCACAGAGCCCTTCTGACACCATCTTGGCCAACCTGACTACAGGGTGAAAGACAAAGGTCCACATTTTTGTTCATGTTACTTTTCCATCTTATTATTAGTTTTTATTTTAAGAGCAAAGGTAGGTTTTTATTATCCTGGATAAAATTGAGTAGAGCCCTTAGTGTATTATATGTTCTCACTGCAAACTAAGTCCAGTCATAAATAAGAGTTATAAAAAATATATTTCTTTGAGGAACAGAAGTGCATGCAGTTATTGTTTAAGGTCTTTAACCAAGATTGAAAGCACATTGCAAGGTTTAAATATAATCCAAATAGTTGAAATAAAAAATACAATATTTTTTCCAGAACGCTGAGACCATATAACATGAAATTAATTTCAACAGACATTAAATACCTTGGAGGACTAAACCCACATAGGAATACAGATTAAAGTAGTTCAAGACATTTTCTCTTTCAATTTTGGAGTTTGGTATGGCACCTGAAAGCCATTTTTATGTCAAGTCTTTCACACTAATCCAACTTTACTTGCAGTAAAGTACTGCAAATTATACCATTTGTTTTACTTGTGAAAGCTAACAATGTTCTGTCTTCACAGTATGTTCAGTCAAAGAAAACTTTCTGGTGATGTAGTATTTGAGTAGTTTCAAAGGCATTTGCATCACTAAATGTTTTACAGGGAGTTCAAGGATTTCTGGTATCTGACCTAAGGCTTGTTTTCACAAAACATCAGTGTTTCTGAGCCCTCCACAGTATAAAAGGAATTTTAACACCTTTAATGAAACCGATACATACGGGGGTTTTTTGTTTTTTTGCGGTTTTTTTTGTTGTTTTGTTTTTGTTGTGGTTTTTTTTGGGGTTTTTTTTGTGTGTGTTTTATTGTTTGGTCAGGTTTTTTTTTGTTTGTTTGTTTTTTGTTGTTGTTTGGTCGGGTTTTTGTTTGTTTGTGTTTTTTGTTTTGTTTTTTATTTTTTTTTGGTAATTCCCCATGTGGATTCAATCAGTTTGGAAGTGTACATTTACTATAACAAGTTAAATTGATATAAATTATATTTCAATCAATGAGAGAACACCTTTTTAACGTTTTGCATGAGTTCAGTTGAATCAGTTCATACATACTATATATATACAGTTCATAATCAGTTCATAACATTATATATATATGTGTGTGTGTGTGTGTATGTATATGTATAACATACTGTGCCACTTTGTGTGGATATAAAGTCTAAATTACTTATTACTTTTCTGGACAAAGTCTTCACTAACCACCCACAAATTCCACCATTCTCAACTGGACAAAGTTGCTCTAAGGTTTCTGGACAAGGTTCTAGTACTGCAGTTCACTTTGTAAATAATTGCAGTGTAGAGTGCACCAGCAACCCTTTTGAGGACTTGTATTTTACTTTGCTCTCCTCAGTCTGTGGTTATTAAATTCATTTAACTGGATCTGGGGTCAGCAACATACGACAAATTCTCTATTCTTAAAATTGCCGCATGTGAAGAGCGCCACTGAGGTAACTGGTCACTGTCTTTTGCCAGGGTCCCGCCAGGCTCCGAGCGCCCCGGCGCCGTTCCCGTAAGAGCCGGACTCTGTGTTCCTCCCAGCTCAGAACAGCCCGTGATTCCGAGATGTACAATAGGCTGAAAAGAGTTAAAAAATGACGCTGCTCCCCGCGGCACGAAACGCCCCTCCGAGGGCGCGCACACCGCCCCGGAACTCCGTCACTGCCGCGGCCGGGCTCGCCGCGGCGGAGGGAAGGAAGGCGCCTGACGCGGTGGGAGCGCGCCGGCGGGCCCGTGCGCGCATGGCCGTGCCGCGGGAGCCGCCCGCCGCCCCGTTGCTAAACCATTGTATAAGGATTGCATATTTAATTGTGTATCGTAACTGCGTAAATCACACCAGTGCTCCTTTCTGAAGAGCAGATATTTCTCAACCAGGTGCGTTTGTTATAGTGACAGGAATGTTTAGGATGCTCTCGAATTCAGTTCTTCCACGCACAAGAGCAGTACATCGAGTTGAAGCCTGCCTTTCAGTAAAGGAGGCGTATGGCTCACAGAACAGCTTTGGGCTTGTCAAAACTCTTGCTCAGCACTTATGGGTAAAGCACATTGAGAGCTGGCTTGCATTCATTGTTGTGCCATACCTTTTACAGCACAGGTGGTGTCTTTATAATTGTGTTTCAGGATGAATGTACCATCTTCCTAGGGAGAACTGAAAAATTTTCGGTGTCTGTCATTTATTTTATGGGTAAAACAAAGGTGGATATGGTTTTGTATGCAGATGTGTCAGAAATCCACTGAACAGAGTATTTAGAAGCTTTTTATGTGTTTTCCCTATCTTCAGCTGCTAAGTACTGCTGTGCCAGCTTGAAGAGCGTTTTAGGCAAGTAAATCAGATTTAAAAGCAAAGCAAAGTCAATCACTGAAGTGTAAAGAAAGAGTTACCTTCTCTGTTCAGGTATTCACTGTAGCTAAATCCCATGTTTTGACTTACTCTCCTGCAGTTCAGTTCTATTTTCAGAGGAATTGTGCAAAAAGTTTACATGACTAACTTTGATTTTAGTGAAGGAGTGTTAACTTATTGCTAGATAAACTAATTTCATAACTTGTAAATAAACTCTTACTGACAATTTTCCATGTGGGAAACTAAATATTTAAAGGGTTTGCATTGAAAGGGCTGATTTTTGCTATAGACTTGCATGACATTCTTTTTCTTTTTTAGGGCGTAATTAATAAAGTGGCCCCTAGTCACATTGGCTGCCTGATACATGGATGCTTCAATGCATCTATCCCTAAGCCTGAGCAAATGTCTGCTGTACAGTGGCAAGAGCTGGGGTTAAAAATAGGGGACGAACTGAAATTTCAAGTATTGCACTTGGATTCTGATACAGCTGGGGTGTTCTTCATTCGAGGAGGACTCACTAAAAGCAGGTAGAGTGCCTTAACAGAGACTATTTCTAACTGATTTAATACGTTTTTTACAAGCTAAGTGGTTTTATTTACATTTTAATTCTTCAGCTTTCTTATTTTTACACAAATCCCTATATAACTGTATATAGAACTATATATATATACACACACACACACATGTATAAATAACACATATATGTTGTCTTAAACTAAACTTTCCATTGTTTAAGAGTCCCACGGAAGTTTTCTCTGAAAAAAGTAAAACTAGGTGTTTATTGAGCTTTAAAAATCTGAGTGTGTTGACCTATTAATTGTTGATTGCATATATAATATGCTCAAAATAGCACATTCAGGTGTCCAAGAGTAGCTTTGTGCATAGGCTTTTGAAGTGCAATCAGTTCAGGGGTCCTGAACACAGTGTTTACATTGACAGGTGCACAAAAACACATGCATATGTATTAATTGTACAATACATACATGCATATGTATTGTACAATGATAAATACAGGACTTAAATACTTGCTGAAACACAAGAATTTCAAAGATGAGAAAATGTGTCAACTTCCTCCTTGGGCCTCTGTAAATTTATAGGGCACCTTGTGAGAAATCTTGTATTCAGAAGAGTTCATTCACATTTTTCTTTTAAAACAGTCATTTACTGAGCAGTGTTTTTCTTTCAATGTGGTTTTGATTTTCATTATATGTATAATATGACTCCTACCTAGCAAATTCAAAGCATTTTTTATTTGTTTCTTCTTTTGATCTGGAAGGATGCTGTGGATCGTTTCAGTGGATTTACAGTGAAAGTCAACAGTTGCCTCTGGGGACATAAAAATCTCCATGGTTTTTAACTGCATTTTTTCCTATTTGTCTTAGGCATTTTTTCCAGTGCTCTTGGTTGCAAGGTACCTGTTGGGGTAGGGAATCTGGTGGGTTTTTGTGGAGCTTTTTGGGGGGTTTTTTTGATTTTGTTTTTTTTTAACAATTTTTTGGGCATCACCTTTTTTTTAATTAGAGTAGGGTAATTGCTTGGTAAAATCAGCAGTGTGCCTCATATATGACTGAATAGGCCACTAGCTGTGTGTTTGTGTGAATGACTTAAAAAAAACACAAAAATCTTTACTACATAATGTGTAGTTATGAATTAGGGGATGAATAAGCACTAGAAAAGAGGAACTACCAAAAGGTCTGTATGGCACTTCAGAGAAGAATTTTAGGCTAAGATTTGAAAGAGAATATTTATTATGGTAAGAAGGAAGCTAGTAATAGAAGTTACCCTGAGAGTATTAAACTTTGATTCTCTGTAACACAGAGTATCATGTTCTCCATTTGTTGTTTTTAGCAAATATTTATCTTTTATCTGCTTGATGTAAATATATGTTTTAGCAAATTGACGTTTCACTATGTGAGATGTCTCTAATCCAGTTTATGTTGTATATTTCTTTACAGTTTGCGTCCTAAAAAATCTCATGCAGTCACTGAAAGTACAAATGAGGACGAAATTCAAAAGCTTGACCACCAGGAAAATGGCCTGAATAACTGTGGGGAAGGTAATGTCACAGAAGAGCCTTTAAATGAGACAAGTAACCTTGGGAGGGAAAATGAAGAAGAGCCAAGTGTTGATGCTGTGAATGGATTATGTGATGACAAAAAGAAGAAGAAGAAAAAGAAAAAGGACAAGGAAAAGCAAGGAGAACAGGAGCTTGTATTGCCTACCAGTGACTCCAGTGGTTACCAAAGTGACCATAAAAAGTCAAAGAAAAAGAAAAGAAAGCATTGTGATGAAGTTGAAGAAAATGAATTATCTCAGCTGTCAGAAAAACCCAAAGCAAAAAAGAAAAGGACTAACGTCTGAAGTGTCTTCCCTGCATTACATTTCAGACATTTTTGATAAGTTTCAATAAAACCCTGTTTTGAAAATGTGTATCTCTTTTTTTTTACTACACAGTCTGCTCTGCTAGTTCAAGTGGTGTTTGTGTGCATATGTGCATCAGCAGTTTGAAAGGCAGGATCTTTTAAAGTACTGATAGAAGAAATGGGATAGAAGCATTATCTGCCTGGCTTTTTTACTGGAAAGCAAGGCACAAAAGAACTGTGAAATGTAATTACAGGAACACCAGTTCCATGCATTAGCCAGCTGGTAGTTACAATGTATGCTACTCTAACTCCATCTTTGCCAATCGGTGTCTTGATTTTACAAGAGTACATTAGGATTATCTTTGAGTTTCTGGGAAATTCATGTGAGTTTCCAGGAGGCTTAAAAGATAATTTTTTTTGAGTTTCAGTGCTTTTGGTTGTAGTTCTTATCTATTGTGAAGAGCTCTGTTTGAGCTGTAGTGTGACATAGTCTAGTGTTTCACTGGGGTAGGAGGCCATGATTTTGTGGTGTTTTACATGTTACAAGAACATAGCCAGCTCTTTGCAGGTGTTAGTAAACAGCATGAATGTGGAAACTTGCTGTTCATCTCTGTTCCTAGGTGATAAAACATTTTGCTCTAGTGATTAATGTTGATGCTATTAGCACATTCGGTAGAAATGTTTACAATTTCTAATAGCATCCATTCACACTGAACATGTTCTGAATTTCAAGTGTGACAATACTTGTTTTAGGGCTCACTTTGTGCTATATTACTATATTTTATGCTTCTTTAAAGTTCCAAATTTACCAAGACAAAGTTACCAGCATACAGGCTCAAGGGCATGACAGTACATAGTAGGCATTTTAAAGTTATGGCACTATAAAAAACCAAGACTTTTTGAAGACTTACAGGAAAGTGCACTTAAATAGCTAATGGCAGCAGTAGCAGCAGAAACTGCAGGATGTCCTCTTGTGTTTGCTCTTCAGTGTATTTCATCTTGAGATGAAGCCCGTTTCTGAGCAGTCCTGAGGTGTACATGAATTGTCCCTGTTGTGTTTCTATGTGTGATGGTTCTGGCACTTGATTTCCATGCAATTTCATACACACTGGCTCTTCTATCCATTTTTCCTGTACTGTGACAAAACCTGAGAAGTTAGATGATGTTTGTTATGTATTATACCATGCTGCAAGGTCATTTGAGGGCAGTATTCTTGTTTGTTCATGGTTGCAGAGAATGACACTGAAGTCCCATGCTGCTGTACTTAAAGTACACAGGCAGGCTGATGGTTGAGACATAATTGAGTCAGAAATTATGTGCTAGTTCCCCCTTTATACGTAGATTAAAAAATATATATATATTGATAGATATATGTATATTTAGGTAGTGACTTGAGGGACAAGTTGGATGGATGGGTAAGAAGGACATATCAGAGGAGGATGGCAAGCACAGATATTTTTTGATCATGCCAACATGAAGAGAAAGATGGAGGCAGTTACTGTTGCAGATGATCCAAAGACTGAGTCACATGATTTGATCTCTTAGTACTCACTGTACCTCACTTTCCCTTCTAGGGAAGGGAAACATCCCCAGAGTCAAGCCTCACCAGTTGACAGAAGCAGTTTGTAGCACCAAAAGTTTGTCTTGTTCTGTTCTGCCTTTTCATCAGCATGGAAAGGAGGAAGACATTCAGGGGGAAGTAGTGAACTTGCAATTAATGAATCAAGTAACAGACAATATAAATGCTTTCAGCACTTTGCTCTTTTTCCACTTCTGCTGCTGTACCATTCTCTTACTGGGAATTGATTACTGTAGTTTAGCAAACTGTGCAAACTTTTGTTGATAATTAGTCTTTTCTGAAAGCCTACAATAGACTCAGTTTTGGGTCTTACTTAGAGGCAGGTTTATTTTTGGCACACAAGTTTGGCTGGCACCCACTTGTATCATTTTTTGGTTTTCTTTCTTGGGTGACAACAAAAGAGAACAATTAAAAATAAATGCAGGAGCTGGCAATTAATGACTGCTGAACAAGTTGTTTCTCCAGTGATACAAATACCATAACATGTTAAAGTCTTAATAAGTTTTGTGTCTTTGAAAGAGGAAAAGTGAAGAAAAGACTTCAAAAAAGAAGGAAGAAAAACTTGGTTTACACAGTTAGAGGCAATATTGGCAGCCTCACAGCTGCGCTGTTGATGTTGCTGTAAATACCATTTTGACATTTGCTAAATATGGTGAGAACACTTGGATTTTCAAAAGTGAATTTTCATTTTGATCATAATTTCAATCACTTGTCTTTGTTTTTTCCCCATAAAAAGGTAAGATTTTCTGATGCTTCTAATTAACAAAGGAGCTTGACACTTTCCATTAAAGTTTCTCTGAAGTTTGATCTCTATAAACCTTTAACTTTCTGTGTTCCCCTGGACGATAAATGAAGAGTTTATTGAATTTTAATTTGATACAAGATTTTTGAGTATGTGGAACAATAATTTGTAAAGCTTCCTGGGAGACCAGGTGACTTCATTTTTTTGGTATAGCCCTTCTGTTATTTTTTTCAGGGTGCATTCTGGTACAACTCATGTCACATGGCAAAGAGAAGGTTAGAAAGTAAGATTGTATTTTATCTTATAATTGTATAGATAGTTACACCAAGGTAACTGTGATCTAGAGAAAAAAAATGCTGGAGTTTTTGGTTTTTTCTGTTCTAACAATAAGCTTGTAACAAAACCAATATTTACTTATGGCTCTGGTTGATACTGTTTTGTCAGTATTACAGAACATGAAGTTCCAACTTCATCAACTATAAGTTTCTAAAGTAGAAGTTGCTACTTTGTAATATAAATATTTTGATTCTGCAAATGTTTCTCGGTTATTGTATGCCTTTGGCAGAAAAGCAAGCAGTCTTACAAGAAGATATTTTTAGCTGTTTCTAAAACAATTGTTTTGTATTCTCTGAAGCTTGCAATAATCTGCAGTGCTAACTTTTGCTTTTTGTCTTTTCCTTGCTTCTCTCAGATACAAATTCTTTGCTTTTGACTTGGCACTTTGCTACTGCTTTAAATACTCAGCCCAAAGAGCTCAGTGGATGAGCTCTAGGGAAAGGATTTTTTTAAAGGGCTTAAGCAAGCTAGCTGCCTTTTGGAAAAACATGAGCTGTGATCAAGTCTGCCTCCGAGTAAACACTTTGCCTTTGGAAGCATCCCAACCTTAGACAGCCCTCAGACAGTACAGACCTTTGCTGTGAAAAGGTTATGTGATCTGATGCTCTCAGGATTATTACTGTTGGCTATGGAAGGACTGAAATAGTTTCATTCTAATAAGGACTATATTTTTCTCTACCAAAATGTTGATTCTACTCTGCTATTTAGCTTTTAGAAATTCTGTATATTTAATAAACTCTGAGAGACTTCAGTATCCAGTAGGTTTTGTTTATAAGGATCTTCTTTGTTTTAAGTATCTTCTGGATTCATGTGAACAAAAAACAAGACTGAAAATCAAGCTTTGCACTTCTCCAGTACTGTCAGTAGATAAGTTTTTTACAGACACAGCTCAAGATTTTTTTGCTCTTTATGACTTTACACATAATTAAATTAAAGTTGGGTTAAATTCTGTTGTAAATATCGTCTCAAGCCACTCCACTGACCTGATGTTAAGCAAGTAAAAGCAATTGCAGCCTGGCCATGACTTCAAGTTTCCCTGAAGCCAACTGCCCTATGCAAAGAACGAATAAGCTTTAATTTTCCCATTTTTAGAACCTCTGCTCCATAAGACTGAATACAAGATGATCTCCGCCCATTTCCCAAATGCTGTGATACATCTGTAGAGTATCATTGCTGCTAGAATGTTGCTGTTACAACCAGAGACAGTTGAACTTGGAAAAGAACTTATTTGAGAAATCTATCTATAAAAAACAGATGAGATGAGCTTTCTGTACAGAAGGTGAGTGAAACTGCAACAGGTTTTAGTATGTAGCAAAGAAACCTTACAAACAGAGGAAAGAATTTTGCTACAAGATTCATTATCAATACCTTCCTCTTTTATGGATTATTTTAGTGGTTTTCATATGATTAGGTTAAGCTGTGACCTTGGGTCTTTAAATATGTTTGATACTTAGTAAGAATACATTTAAAAAGATAGGGATAACTATTGCCCTTCAAAGATCTCTTGCTCATTATTACCCATGTTCCTCTATCTTTTATATTTTCTTTCACTGGTGCCTTTGGTGTGTAGAAACTTCTCTAAGAATATTCTTAATACACTGTAAATATGATTCCAATTCAAGAGCAGGATTTCATTGTGCTGCACAAATTGAGTGAGGAGAAATGTGTGTTTAAGAGGCTCTGGTAAGAGCCAGTGTGTCAGTACTGTGTTGCTTAGAAGCTCACATTAGGTGTGTGTGTGTTTGGACACTGAAGAAGCAGATCTTTATCAAATGCTTTGACTTGAGTTGCAGGTAAGGTTGTATTCAGAAATACATTTCAGTTCTACCTGCAAAGCCATAATGGGTGGGCATGAGCTCATTGTGGTACCACCATGCCCAGCACACAGCTCCTGATGGAGACTTGGAGAGCAGCAGTCAGTGGAATTGCAGGCTCTGCAAGTATGGTGCCAGATTTCATTGAAAGCATTTTGCCAAAATTAGTATGAATAAGTCCCAGTCATTCAAGGAGCTGGCTGAACCAGAATCATCTTGTTTTCGAGGAGCAGGCTACAGCTCCCAGTGATAAGTCCCAGCCTGTGCTTTTATTTCCTGATAATGAATGTGTTAGCACATGGATAACCTAAAAATTCTGTATGGATCAGTCAAATCAATTTAAAAGCTGGACTAAAAGAAAAGGCAAATTTATCCTGCATCAGTAAACATGAATATTAATATCAGAAAAAAAAATGAGACTGTTTTGGAGCACTATAAAATCTTTGGATCAGCTCATTTTTTGTTGTAGATAACAAACCAGTGACATCTGACCCCCTTTCAGGATAATGCCATTTTATTATATATATGTTTGAAGGTTCATTTTTTTTCTCCAGAGATTTGATCATCTCTACATGGGCTCACAGATGACCAC